CCAACTCAGATTTGAAAAAAAATCAGTGGATGGCTGTTTTCTGACTGGTCGGCAGACCGCCGACTGGTCGGCCCTACTGGTCGGCCCTACTGGTCGGCTGCAAAACGGTTGTCGGTCGGGGTCGGCAGTCGGCAGCTATGCAGGGCCGTATCTACGTAGCACCGTGTGGGGTCGGCAGTCGGCAGCTATGCAGGGCCGTATCTACGTAGCACCGTGTGGGGTCGGCAGTCGGCAGCTATGAAGGGCCGTATCTACGTAGCACCGTGTTCGCGTTCGGTAAAATAACAACACAAGCAACTTTTGCCTTGGAGTCATGTTCAAATTCGTAGCCAATCACGAGTTAAAAATCAAAAACCGAAAAAAAAAATAATTTGTTTTTTTTGTTTTTTACGAAAAAAAAATTATGTTCGCCCGAACACGTTCACGCGGACGTGAAGGGGCGGGAACACGTTCGCCGTGCTACGCAGCCCTGTATATGATATATAGACCTCCAACTCCTTCCTCCACCCTTTTTTACTGCACCAAATTTTGATCGTTATCGCTTTATTATTAGAAAGGAAAGAAAAGAAAAGCCAAAAAGATGAAACATCCTGATGAACACAGAGTTCATCTTAGAGCCCCACCCTCTTGCTTAAGGTATATACATCCGCCAACGAGTGCCTCCCCACTTGGGTTGGCATACAAGGGCTCGATCCAGTGGACAACGTTTGAAATGTATCTAAAACTGGCAAGAGTCCCGATACGTTAAAAATGTTGGATCAATCCAAATGTATCTGGACGGTCCAGATAAATCTAGAATGTTGTGCACTGGAGTGCGGGAGCGAGGGCCAAAGAGAGCCATTACGTTATCTAAGTCTGAACGTGGTCAATACTTGTTTGTGAGCGACATTTGGGCTTTAGGGTGGTATACTGGAAGCTTGAGGCCTTTGGGTGTCTCTATCTCTATACAAAGTTACAGATAAACCCTTGCCCTTTCCAGATAGTTACTGGCAAGTCCCTGTCCGGGCAATTTCCAATTTACCCTCACCCTCGTGCTCACTCTTTGGACACTACATAAAAAGGACTGTGTGAAAAGAACAACTGCAGACAAGTACACTGACATTTTGGAAGTGAAAGAGCAATTGCAGACAAGTAAACTGACTGTTCGGTGTTGTGCAGTAAACAAAACCAATGCCACAAGTCCTTCGGGACATCCGTTAAAATTGGAACGATACAGAGAGAGAAGATTAGCATGGCCCCTGCGCAAGGATGACACGCATAAATCGTAAAATGGTCAAAAAAAAAAAAAAAAAAAAAAAAAAAAAAAAAACAATCCCACAACAAATATGGAACTGCCAGTCAAAGGCAGACAAAGGCAAAATTATTTGACACTATGGCGCATTTGGATCTCGCCGGGTCCCAGCTAGCTGCTCTCTGGCTTGAGAGCATCTGCTGCCGTTGCCGTTGCCGTTGCCGTTGCCCTTGCTGTGCTCACCAGGAAACACGTAGCAGTGGTTTGAACCACCAGTAAACCCGGGCGTGGCGGCCTTCCACTGCGCGCCAGGCTATTCCGAACCACCAGCGACGCACCTTTTTTTTTCCTTCTTTTTTGGCTGGCGCGGCCAGCCATTGTGGTCCCCTAGCCCCGAAGCTCTGAAATCTTTGTAGGCGATGAACAGTTTCTCCACAAGGCTGGGGGCCATGGACTGGGGGTTTAAACAGCCTTGTGTGTGGAGAATCGTTCATCGCCTATGAAACAATTCTGAAATCTTTGTAGGCGATGAACGGTTTCTCCACAAGGCTGGGGGCCATGTACTGGGGGCTTAAACTTTTGAAACGGTTTTCACCTTTGCAGAAGCAGATGCAGATCCCAGGGTTTGATCCCTAGACCTTACCTGCACCCGTGTACAGTATCGAGTAGACCCCTGTGTGTTTTGAGCCCGCGACCTGTGTTTTAGTAGTAACTGTTGTTGTCGTAGGTCCCTGTAGCTGTAGGGATTTGATCTGTAGATCTGTCAAGTAGGGGTTACAGCTGTGCAGAGGTCGAAACTGCTAGGCTAGAGGTCTGTAGGTAAGTCGGAAGTCCAACTGCGTCGAGTCGGCAGTCGGCAGTGCAACCCCGTGCGGTCAGCGGTACCGGTCCCAGTCACACTTAGTCCAGTCAAGCAAGTACCGTGTGGGCGGGACTGTGTGCACCAAGGGCGTGTTGGGAAGGGGCAGACCAGCGGCCAACAGAAGTATAAATCAAGAGGCAGCGTCCAGCAATGGACTCATTCTGTGGTGATCCTTGCGGAAGCGCTGCCAGTGCGCCTTGTGCTAGGTGGTCTGCAGGAAGCCCGAAGTTGAAGTGGGCAGTTGGCAAGATAGAGCGGACATAGCCGCTTGTACTGCTGCGTAGGCGGCAGCCATAGCTGCGATAGGAAGTGAAGTGTCTAGTGTGTGTGTGTGTCTTCGTGTAGAGTGAGAGAGTGCGTGCGCGTGGGATATCCAGGGAGATCGCCTGTGAGGTGTGTGCGTGCGTGTGTAAGCAGTGGGAGTATGGGTTGGCTGTAAGAGAGAGGGAGTTGGGCGCTTGGTCGCCATAGATAATCTGAAGCAAGTTTTGTATCGGAACTGTGTTCTCGCCTGTAATATCTCTGAGGCTCTGAGCTTTGTGTGGGCGCCTGGCGCCAGAGTGATTTGCCATCTGTTTACATGCATGCGAAGTAAGAGGTAAGTGAGTCTGATTGCACTTTAAACAGCCTTGTGGAGAATCGTTCAGCCTACAAAAAATTTGGAGGCTCAGGAGTAATGAACCACGATGGCTGGCGGCACCAGCCAAAAAAGGGAAAAAAAAAGTGCGCCGCTGGTGGTTCGGAATAGCCTGGCGCGCAGTTGAAGGCCGCCAGGCCTGGGTTTACTGGTGGTTTAAGACAAAGGCCTCACTTGAAGCCCCGGCGCAGCTAGCAGGGAGGGAATACTGTGTATAGTACCTGCTTATTGTACTGGTAGCAGTGGGAGTTGTGGGCATGAATAGGTGCAGCAGCTGTAAATGCTCCTGTGTGCGATGGGCAGGCTGGTAGTGCCAATCCTTGAGAGTATCTGAGGGCGTCTTTGGGTGGGACAGGGGGTGTGGTTTCCGTGTCATATTGGTTTAATTCAAAGCATCTAAAATTCTAAATCTATGCTTCGTAACAGTGGTTGGGATCGGTGAGTAGCAGCAACTGCATACCGTAAAGGAGTCTCCCGGCTACTACACCCCAACATAATGTTCTCAATCACAAGACATCTTTGTTCATGCTTGCCGGAGATAAGCAACTGGACTGACGTCTCCCCAGAGAGTAGAAGCGGCAGTGTGTGCATTTGTGTCTTTTGAAAACATGGAAACAGAAAAGAAAGATTTGTGGGCAATCATTACGCATTAGTTTTGCAGTCGTTTGGTCAAAACTTGGAGTGTGTGTGTGTGTGTGTGTGTGTGTGTGTGTGTGTGTGTGTGTGTGTGTGTGTGTGTGTGTGTGTGTGTTTTTCTTTTCTTTTTTTTAAAATTTATTTATTTATTTATTCGAGTGTGTTTTTGGTTTAGGGTGATCGTCAAGTCCGTTCCTGTACGGAGACAACATGAGATGGATGGCTAGGTGGCAGGCATGCAGGCAGGGCATCGTCGTCCAGTCAGACGTGTGCAAACCCTGGTTGAATCTCCTCCCACCTGTGGGGCTGTGACCCCACCTCACAACCCCCGCCCCGACGCTATGCTGAGTTAAGACTTGGGCGGCGGTGAAAGGTTGAGATACCTTTTCTGGTATAATGCATGTGAGCTGTAATATTTCGACTTGCTGGTCTACTCATCCAACTGAAAACCCCACCTGAAGAGAAGTGAAAAAACCTCAAAAAGTTGATTTTGTTTTTTTGTTTTTTTTTGTTTGATCCTGGTCTGACAGTTTGTGATTGCTATGTTTGGTTCTTGATTTACGGGATCTGAAGCAGAAGGATGGAGGGCAGTGTTATCAACGATTGAGTAAGAAGAGAGGTGGTGCGTTGGTAGTTTCTGCCGAAGCGGGTGATGCCAGTGGAGCAGAAGATCCTAATGGAAGTGGGAAGGGAGATGGTGGAAATGGCACGCCGAACAGTTCAGCGGGTATGACCTACCTTTTGAGTTTTTTTTGTCCGTAATGGGTCCGGCATGCATTGTGCTGGTTCCTCCTCTGTGTGTGTGTGTGTGTGTGTGTGTGTGTGTGTGTGTGTGTGTGTGTGTGTGTGTGTGTGTGCATGTTCTCAAATCATCACCATGGTCCGTTGCTATTGAAAGAATTCCTTGGTATGGTTGACGGAAAATGGAGATGCATTGCTGCTACCATGATCGATTATTCCTATAGCAGAAAAAAAGAAAAAAAGACATTCTCTCGACCCAGCACAGGTATTTGAGGATCGGGTAGAGGCACTATTCAGGCTGTGCTTGTGCGCGCGTGTGTGTGTGTGTGTGTGTGTGAGAGAGAGAGAGAGAGAGAGAGAGAGAGAGAGAGAGAGAGAGAGAGAGAGAGAGAGAGAGAGANGAGAGAGAGAGAGAGAGAGAGAGAGAGAGAGAGAGAGAGAGAGAGAGAGAGAGAGAGAGAGAGAGAGATGAGGGGAGGCGAGGCGAGGGTTGCTTCCACAGACAGACCGGTTGCTAGGCACTGCTATGCCTGCTAGGGGTTCAGTCCTAGGACATTCGTCCACTCATTAAGCATGTTGGGTGTCAGGTGCTCTGGGCGGAGTGCTGTCTTCTGCTTGTGCTATCTGTTGTGTGCGCTGCGATGCCCATTCTACCTGCTATTTTCTATGTCCAGCAGACATTGAACCCATGTTCTACCGCAGTGGTGTTCGCATGATAGTTTTTAACACAGTGAATCCACTAAGAGCTGTCATCGTAAAACTCCTGCAGCCCTTTGTATCATTTTACTAGGAGAAGCAGAAGCACACACAGAAACCGTGCAACCTAAAGCAGCAAAAAAGAGAGAAAATTTGCTGCAAAATCCTGCTAATGGAGGTGTTCCTGTGAATGAAAATATACTATATATACTATATATAGTAATAGCAGAAGCACAAGCAGACCAACCCAGCCAGTGTGTTATGTGCCTGATTGAAACGTCACCCAACATAGCGTCCACACGTTCCCATACACATACACAATGAAAGAAAAGACTTGGAGAGGACAATCCACACCAAACCGGGCTGAAGATGCACAGCGGACGCTAAAAACTCAAATATAGAATTGATAGAAAACTTCAATTCACCGTCCCTCTTCTGCTCCACTTCAATACACAGTCGAACAACCTAAGAAAAAAAAAAAAACTGTGAATCCGCTAAGAGCTGTGAACTGCACATATGCAAGAATGTCAACTGCTCCACCAAGAACCCAAGAATCTCAACCATGATAGTTTTTACGACAGTGAATCCGCTAAGAGCTGTCATTCCCTTAAAATTCCGTACCGATTTCGGGACAAAATTCCGATAGAAATAATAAAAGCGAGATTTAATAAACACCCCTTTATAGTAGTTTATACCCCTTACTTCAGTAACTCACCCTTGTGTGGCCCCTCTCCCTTTTTCTTTTTTGGGTTTCGGTGTTGGCGTACCGTTGATTTTATCCAGAAGGTCATTGTTAGTGCTGCTTTCCTTTTCGTATTCCATTTCGCTTGCTCCGTGTTCTCTTCCTACCTTCTCCTCCCGTCCTCCCCTCCTCCCCCTTCCTCACGCTCGCGCCCCAAAGGCCCTCCCCTAATCGTCGTTTCTTTTTTTTTTTTTTTTTTTTTTTTCCCCCAAGAAAGAGCAGCCCCTTCTATTCTGGGGGGCATCAGTCCGGTTGCTCATCACCGGCAAGCCTGGAAAACGAAATACAGTTTGGTTTAGAAGAGAAGAGAAGAGGAAAGCCTTGCCCTTGCGGCCCTAGACGCCTCTCAAGGAGGGGATTGCTACAACCAAAACCCACTTCCCATACCATAGCCTCCCCTGGGATACCTCTGTTGGTCGGGAAGCTTCCTAGCAGCACCCAGCCACACAACAGATGGGTCCCCAGGGAAGGCCTGGCTCGGGGGGCCTGTTCTAGCAATCTCGCGGGCCTCTCATCGTGTTAAAACCCTTCCTCAGTTTCCCCATCAAAATCCTCTGGCTACCATCTAATATTTACAGCACTCGCCCTCACACCACCCTCCAGTCTCTACTACGCACTCCTTTAGACAGCCTACCCCGAGTATCTCTTATATTCTCAAGTATCATCTACATCTGAGCCCTGTCACCTTTATGTTTTATATCTACCCTGCTGATATGTTTACAAACTCACCCTTGCCTTATTTGCCCGCCCTCTAGTTCACAACCCATTCTGAGGGCAGTAGGTTTCTCTTGTCTTATCATGGAGAAACCTTGCTGAGCACCTGTGGCCAAAATAGGCCCCTTATTCTTAGTTATACAAAAAACCTTCGTAAATGCCTGAAGCCAGGTAGGCCATCCATATTCTAATCTAGTTGAATCTAATTGAATCTTGTCCCCAGCAGTATATATTCAGCACTCAAATATAGCCCATGTCCCTTCCTCTGTCATCCCCCTTTTTTCCATTTTTCAGTTTTAGCTTGCCCTCCCGTTCCCCCACTACCCCCTACCGTCTACCCTCCTCTCTCGACTCCGATTTCCTCCCATTCCCTTACAACCTATCTACCCAATCCCCAATCTATTCTATCGACTGACTGCTGCTTGTGTCCTCCTTTTCCAGGCTGGGCACATAGTGTTGCAGGGCTGGTCCAAACTGCAACTGTCCTGTAGTAGGGTCTTGCACCAGCATCTGCGGGAACGGGGCCCATTTCTGCGAAAAGCCTGCCGCCTTGGCCTCCCCTATGCGTCTACTTCGGTGCAGATCCGCCAGTATAGCAATGCGAATATTCTCCAGTGCCCTCTCCTGACAGGCCCGAAGTGGCGAGGACGTTCCTTGCCTACGCCGTTCATTTCTCAATGTCCACAGAGCCCATAACACTGCTGCCCTTACGATCTCTTCCACCACCATTTCAGCCATGTCCCGCCTACTTGCCTTGCCCAGGGTACCCAGCAGGATATCTGTGTCGGTCGTTTCATCCACCTGTAGCAGTGTCTTGTCCGCCATTTCCTGCGCCCACCACTCCCAAAACTCCTGCACCCTTGGAAATCGAACAAAAAGGTGGGGGATTGTTTCCACCTGGCCGCAAGCTGCAGCACAAGTTTGGTCCTTATGACAACTCTTGGTAGCCTGCCACTGCGCAGTCGGGATTGCCAAATGGTAAATCTGCCATAGCAGGACCGCCTGCTTTTGGTCTGGCAAGGCAGCCATGATGTTGCATTGTTCATTCCACTTTCGTTGAGTCCAATTAGTAAGGCGCGCGTCCGGGAGCCACTCCCGTTTAACCCATCTCTCCTTCAGTTCCCTACAGATGTTCACCGGTTCCAGCAGCGAGTTGTAATCAATCTTCGTGGTTACCTCTTGGAGTGGCATCAATCTCCTGTGCATCCTCTGAGGAGGCCATTCCCAGTCTCCCGGGTTCCAGACAAGGTCTCTCAGCCGGGTTGCAGTGCAAAAGGGTAGGTAGCATACTTGCGGCGCACCAGTGCGGTGCGCCATGCGGTGCGCCTTGCGCCGTGCGCGGCTCTGAGATGTGAGCGCACGTGCGCACACCGCGCACAAAAAGCGTACAGGTGCAGCGCACTGTGCAGGGCGCAACTTCGCTGGTGCGCCACTGGTGCGCGGGCCTTCTTTTTTTTTTCTTTTGTTGTGTGTGTGTGTGTGTGTGTGTGTGTGTGTGTGTGTGTGTGTGTGTGTGTAGTGCAGGGCAGCTGCCGTCGTAAACTTTGATCCGAGTTCCCGCCCTCCAACCAAGTTCCCGCCCTGTATGGAGGCCATTGTTGSCCCAAATGTATCCTACTCTACTATCAGGTCGCATACAGTCATGATTGGCAGTGTCAGAAGAACGGCAAAAGACAACTATGTCTAGAAAAACAAAAGCAAGAAAAAAACAAAAGAACAGCCCGGGGGTCATCTCGTATCTCCTACTGACACTACCTTCTTCCCCCGAATACAACATTCGGTCATTATAGCTGTATCTGAGGCATCTTTCCGTCTAGATACAGCTATAATGACTGTACGTTGTATTCGAGGGAAGAAGGTAGGATTTTTCTGACGGCAATGATGCCTGGAATCACGCCCGTAGCTGAGTCTAGAAGGGTCTTAGGGCGTCGCTGCACTCGTCCGGAAATGCACAAAAGACAAAAAACATGGCGATGTATATTCCCTTGTTCTAGGGGAAGATTCACTCTCGTTTTGCACATTTTGAGAGTGGTGGAGCGAGGCCCAAACGGGAAGCGAGGCCCATTGTCAGGAGTATCCGTTGTCCAAAAACGGAGCCACGCCCCATGAGGATGGGCCTCGCTCCAGTACTCTCGAAATGTGCGAAACGAGAGTGAATCTTCCGCTAGAACATGGAAAGATACACCGCCATGATTTTTGTCTTTTGTGCATTTCGAGAGTAGTGGAGAGAGTCCCGATGTCACGGACGTTCTCTCTCTCTCTCTCTCTTTTTTTTTTTAGCAAAGCCACCAAGGAAACACAACTGTCAGTTCTGTCGTTTTTCTATATCTGGAAGTAATGAGAGGAAAGCAACGATTCCACAGACGCGTCCTCATCATGATTGTATTGGACCTCTGAAAGGACTCGGATACACTGGAGATAGCATCGAGTTGTGCACAGCAAACATGACGACACACTTAGTTTTTGGGGCAGCGCGGCCCTGAAAAAAATTTGCGCGGGCGATGTCCGAATTTTAGCTGGGCGTGGGAACTCCGATTCACCCTCTCCCCAACTTTTTTTTTTTTTTGGTTGACCCCGAATTTTGCCCATGCGGCGCACCGGGTGAGCGCGCCACGTGCGCAATGTGCAGTGCGCCGCATGTGCGGGAGTGGCGCGCATGGGATGCGCCGCAAGTATGGTAGGCAGTGTCCAGCCTCTTTCTTCCCTCCTTCGCATACCGCAACCGTTTCCACCAAAGCTCGTGCTATTTTCCTCACGGAGTGCAAGTCCTGTAGTGGTTTCCCCAGCCCCTCCCACCCCCGTCCCGGCCTATCCTGCCGTACAGTGACCTCCAGGTCCCCATTCGGCATTACCTGCTTGACTCTATAGAGCCTTTCAGGTGCCTCACTCCCCTTAAGCTTGACCCACTGGCCCACTGCTATCTCATCTCGCACCCTGTTTTTTTGTTTTTTTTTTCTCCTCAAATATGTTATGTCATGCACAATTTCGATGACAAAAGTCTTGACTCATAAAGGGCACACACTCAGAATTTTTCCAACTCTATCTGGTGGCGCCGACTGTCTGACATGTTTGCAGACCCTCCTGCAGTCCAGTATGCCCTGGGATCATGAGGGCATAAGTCAAAAGGAAGGTAACCAAATGGGGTAGAAAAGTAAGCTGGTTAACAAGAAAGAAGGTGTGTTTATAACTTCATAAGTTTATAGTACTTTATACAATGATTGATCATTCAGGTGCTGTGAACTGCACATATGCTATGCGGTTAATAAAGGTCGAAGAATGCGATCCATCCACTCAACTGGCGGCGGAAGTACGCTTGCAAGCAGACTTCTTTCGGGATATGCGCCACATGCAGAGAAGGACAGACGTCAACTTCGCTCCTCATGACAGCTGGCGATTTTTTGACTGTGCGTCTATGTTTGTGTGCCTATTTGTGTCTCTGCGCATTGCTTTTGTTGTTGGCAGATAAAGGCAAGTCACTCGAAATTATGCGGAAATTCTCGGAGCAGTATGCAAAGCGAACCGGGACTTATTTCTGTATTGACAAGAGTGTGACAGCTGTTGTTATCAAGGTAATATTGGTGAACAAAGTGAAAAATTTAGAGAAAGGGGGAGAGAAGGATGGGGTAAAGGGTGGAGCATTGTTGGGGTAGTTGGCGCACATGAGAAAATTGTAGTGCATTGAATGCAGCCTAAGGGCACAGGGCGTGCGGACCAGCTGGTGACCAGTGTAGAGGTCGGGCAATGCCAAACCTGCAGTACCCCTGAGGGCATTTTTTTTCAGTTGTTTGAACTTGTTTCCCAGGAGATAGGTGACTGTAGATTCGGTTAAGGCCAAGCAGCTGTTTCCCTTTTGTGCCATATGTGAACGTTGTATAATGGAAAAAAAATGGCCCTGATAATGTGAGCCAAAAAGGGAACGGTGGAGAGAGAGAG